CCATTTTAATAATTTTGGCCTTATAACTTAGGATCTATCACTGAGCTTTGATATTAGGCTGTGTGTTAAAATGACTAAGAACCATCTACGTTAAAAAGTAGTGTTAGCTTCTAGTATCTATATTTAAATTGAGAATTGGTAAGCCTTTTATGATTAATATTTTTTTTTACCTGTTTGTTGTCTGATTTTTTTTATTTTTTATTTTTCATTTTTCTTTTATTATTCGTATGTGCATACAAGGATTGGTTCATTTCTCCCCCTGCCCCACCTCCTTACCCCCTCCCTTACCACCCGCTCCGCCCCCTCCCTCTCCTCCCCCCAATACCCAGCAGAAACTATTTTGCCCTTATTTCTAATATTGTTGTAGAGAGAGTATAAGCAATAATAGGAAGGAACAAGGGTTTTTGCTGGTTGAGATAAGGATAGCTATACAGGGCATTGACTCACATTGATTTCCTGTGCGTGGGTGTTACCTTCTAGGTTAATTCTTTTTGATCTAACCTTTTCTCTAGTACCTGTTCCCCTTTTCCTATTGGCCTCAGTTGCTTTAAGGTATCTGCTTTAGTTTCTCTGTTAAGGGCAACAAATGCTAGCTAGTTTTTTAGGTGTCTTACCTATCCTCCCTCCCTTGTGTGCTCTCGCTTTTATCATGTGCTCATCCCCTTGTTGTGTTTGCCCTTGATCTAATGTCCACATATGAGGGAGAACATACGATTTTTGGTTTTTTGAGCCAGGCTAACCTCACTCAGAATGATGTTCTCCAATTCCATCCATTTACCAGCGAATGATAACATTTCGTTCTTCTTCATGGCTGCATAAAATTCCATTGTGTATAGATACCACATTTTCTTAATCCATTCGTCAGTGCTGGGGCATCTTGGCTGTTTCCATAACTTGGCTGTTGTGAATAGTGCCGCAATAAACATGGATGTGCAGGTGCCTCTGGAGTAACAGTCTTTTGGGTATATCCCCAAGAGTGGTATTACTGGATCAAATGGTAGATCGATGTCCAGCTTTTTAAGTAGCCTCCAAATTTTTTTCCAGAGTGGTTGTACTAGTCTACATTCCCACCAACAGTGTAAGAGGGTTCCTTTTTTATGATTAATATTTTAATCCTTAAAATTTATTTGGAGTTTTTGTTCCCTAAATTTATTTAACTACTTAGTGGTTGATCATAAATGGTTCCTGTAGTATTGAAGATTTTTTAACCATGTCACTGTACATTGATGACCTTATCCAAGATGAAGGAAAGAGGAATTAATTTTCACATATGATTGTGTTACTTACATATTGTTCAGTGGATAAAGATAAAAGTTGTCAGTAAAGTGACCTGTATATAGTGTATATATTAATTTCATTTTCCATGTTTCTATACCTGTTTTTCCAAATAATCGAATGATTATAACCCTTTTATTTCATTTATATTAAAAAAAGCAGTTACAAAAACTGATATAGCTCTCTTTAATATGGTTTAATTATTTAAATGGACTTTCAGATAGTATTTAGAAAGTCTTCCTGTATTTCTCAATTAGGACATAAGATCTTATCAAATAGAATACTATCCTTCAGTAATTATTTTTTGTTGTTAGATATGGTTGAGGTTCTAAAGATAAAGAATTAACTGTATCCTTACAAGAGAAGTAGAGTAAATGGTGTTGGTAAAATATCATGGTCTCAGACAGTTTGCTTGCCATACTCATGCCTAGTAGCCAGAAGGTACTATTCATTTCATCAGTTGATAATGACTCTTAAGAGAATGTAGAAACTCCTTTTGTATGCAGTAGCTAGTATGAGTGATTACATTAATGTAGTCATTGAGTTTTAAGTCAGTATTCCAATAAAATAATTATTTTGGCCTAAGGAGTTTTTATAATAAAGTTTGGGATAATCTTTTTCTATCCACTTCTGACACGCATTCACCACTTGCTTACTAAACAGCCAAGTGTGCTAGGCACATATCACAAAGATAAAGATGTGGTTTCAGCTCTTGAGCTTACTAGAGAGAGACATACATGTAATTATAGTACGTAGTACTAAGATATACATGTTCTTAGTATAGTGAGAATTAAGAAAAATAGAAGACTTCTCAGTGTCTTTTATGGGGATGGGTTTTTGGAAAAGATTTCTTAAAAGTCTTACTAGATTTATTAGATGTTCACAACATTTGTAAGAGGAAAGCAGGCATTCTCAAAGAATGTGTGGCAAGTGTACAAAATATGTGTGTGTATGAAAAAATACAGTCTATTTGAAAAACCGTAATTTAGGAATCTAGAATTGCTGGAGATACGGACAAAAGGATAGGATATACAGAACCTCATGTACTGTGCTAAGAAGGTTGGGTTTTTAGATCTCTGTTAACAGAAAGCTATTGAATATTTTTAACTTTTAGATTGATTTCAGGTTTTTATTTTAAAAACTTCTACATAGCAATATAGAAGATGGATTGAGAGGCTAAAATTAGAGACTAGCATTGTCGGAGCAAAAGAAAGATGGGGTTAATAATAGAAAGTACAAGGAAAAGAACAGATTTAAGAGATCTTTAGGAGGTAAATTCAACAAAACCTAGTAACTGATTTAATAACTAATTTGGATATAAGGTATATAGGAAGAGTAGGCAAGGATAATGTGAAGTTTCTGGCTTTGATAGTTATATAGATAGTGGTACAACAAGGAACTTAGTAGAGGATCAAGTAGGGAAGTCAGGGTAGTTGGTTAGAAAGATAAACATATTTGGTATGGAGGTTCTTATTGAACATTTCACTTGAGTTGTCTGTGCATACAGAAATCATTAGTGTAAAAGTAGGACTTTAAACTTTGAGATTGAAGAATAATGAATATGAGGAAAATTTAAGAATGGGATAATGATAAATAGCAGCTACATTTTAAAGAAGATTAGGAAAAGAAGCCAGCATAGGAGACTTGATGAATTGTCAGAAATGTGTTGAGAAAACCAAGAGTTGGTTAAAAATATAATGTCTTTTGGATTTGGCAGTTATGAGGAGGTTGCTTATGCCTATAATCCTAGCTACTTGGGAGGTTCAAGGCTACCCCTGACAAAAACGTCACAAGATCCCATCTCAACCAATATTATGGCACAGTGGTGCATACCTGTCATCCTAAACTACCTGGGAGGCTCAGATTATGATGATAATGGACCATTATGATGATAATGGTCCAGTTAAACCAAAGCCAAAAAGTTTGCTAAGACCCCATCTCAACAGAAAAAAGCTGATCATGGTAGTGGATGCCTGTCATCCCAGCAATGGAGGGAAGCCTAAGATAGAAGGATAGTAGTCCAAGTTGGACTGGGCAAGACACTGTCTCCAAAAGAGGTTGGAGGCATGGCTGAAGTGGTAGAGTGCCTGCCTAGTTAGCTTGAGGTGCTGAGTTGAAACAGAAGTACTGCAAAAAGAAACAAAAAAAGATTTAAAAAAAATCCCCCCAAAACAGGAGGTTAATCTTAATTTTGGTGTCAGAAGAACAGAAGCTAGATTTCATTGGTGTGAGAATGTAAATTTATCTGTAGATTGTTGTTTTAAATTTGACCTTAAAGAAAGAAAGAGGTAGCAGTGGGGAGGGAATAGTAGACCAAGGTATAATATTTTTATTTTTAATGTTCAGAGTTGTGAAATGTTGGTCATATAAATAAATAGATATCCTTTTATACAATTTGGCTCTTCTAAGTTTTGAGTTTTTATTTGCCTTTTTTCCTTAAAAGAACTCAAGAAACACATTACCTATTGAAGAGTTGATTTTATGTTCATAAACTAAACTTAATTACTTATTGATAATTCTTTTCAGGAGTATGAAAATGCTGAAAATGTTTCAACTCAGTCAAAAGTTACAAATAAAAAAGATAAAAAAAAGAATCATCAGGGGAGAGACAAACCTCCCACGGTACCACTAAAAGATTTTCAATCTGAAGGTAATATATATATATGTACAATATCTGTTATGCTAGATGAACCACTTTAAAGTTTTTTTATGCCTGTATTTTTCTAATGTTAAAAAAGAAGTAAAAATGGTTTTCTAATGTATCATTTAGAATGTAAAAATGTAAACTTGTTCATTTTGTACTGGTATAATAGAATACTGAGACTAGATAGTTTTCAAAAAACAAAAATTTGTTGGCTTACAGTTCTGGAGGTGGGATAGTAGGTAGTTCAGTATCAAGGTGCCACCATCTGTCAGGATTTCTTACTGCCTTTTCATGTAGCAGAAGGCAAGAGGGCAAGGGAGCAAGGGGGAGTCAAACTTACCCTTTTCTTTCTCATGGCACCAATCCTCCTGTGAGAGTGGAGCCCTCATGGCTTAATCACGTTAAAGGTCCCATTTCTTAATACTGTTTCAATGACAATTAAATGTCAACATTATTTTTGGAGAGGACAAACATTCAAACCATAGCAATCTGGAAATAACTATTTTGTGGTTTAAAAGAATATAAAATAAATCATTATAAAACCCTAAAATAACTTACCTTTTCTAAAATTTATTAAAAATAAAAATTGACATTTGTAGTTTTTCATTGTTTTTAAAACATTGCTAGTTGTGGTGGTACACACCACAACACACACTTGGGAGATTGAGGAATCATTAGTTCCACAGGCTGGGCTATATAGTGAGACCCTGTCTCAAAAATAAATGTACATGCTAGGGATGTAGCTCAAGTGGTAAAGAACCTGCCTAGCAAACTTGAGGTCCTGAGTTCAAACTCCAGTACTACCAAATAAATTATTGTTTTCATATGTGAAGTGATTTTGTTTATGCTATACCAGAAATACCATCTTAAATTTCAACCACTATTGGCCAACCTCTTCAAGTTATCTAGAAATGGCATCTTAGAAAATTAAAACACAAATTTTAAAATGAAACTTATACCAGAAAACTGCTTATATCATTGTTTTCATTATCAAATAACAAAGACCAAAGTCAAGCCATCAAACTTTTGAACACAGAGCACAAAGCACATTATTTTTAATATGGGACATTATGAAAACCATTGGCCTGTGCTATATAATATAGCAGCTACTATTAATATGTGATAATTAATAAATAATTAAAAATGTAATTCCTTAGTTACATTTCAGGTGTTCAGTACCTACATGTGCCTAGTAGCTTCCATATTAACCATATTAACCCAGGTATGGGAAATTATCATCATCACAGAAAATTTTATTGAACAGTGCTGTGTCTATACCAGTCAGAATCATTGCTCACCATATGAGCAACTATTTGTTTATTGACAGCAGTTTATTTGATTAATATAAATTTAGCCTTAATACTTTGGGTATTGTTCTATGAGTATAAATGCTATCATAGTAATTCAGAAATAAGCCTCTATAAACTAGAAATAAGTTTAGAGGATCATATTGCTTTCATTTTATCAAGAAAATTTTTCCTACAGTCTACCTCTGAATAAGTTGCTTTGCTTTGGGGTTAAAAGAACACACATGCATGTTAAAATAAAATCTCCAATTTTAATAAGATTTAATATAGGAAATATATTTTGCGAAAGTAGGAATATGAAAAGAATGCTTTTTAAAACTCCTAATTTATTTTCCATGTATTTGATTTCTTGAGTAGCATGTAAATTCATGAGCTGCACAGAGAAACATGTCAGTAATGATACATTAAAGGGAAGCTGCACAGTTTTTACAAGTCATGATTATTGCAGTTGTGGTTCTTCCTTGGATTCTGGTATCACATTATTTGTTAAGTAGAACATGCCAGAAGAATGACTGTAATATACCAGGATTTAGTAGGTTGGTGTGAGCTTTGATTTTGGCATTTACTGTGGTTATAGACTGTTTTAACAGATTCTTTACAGAACTGGGCCATCTTTTAGATTCTTGGTCATAAGAAAGCTATTCTATTAAGTTGTTTTTAGTGCTTGAGAGTGAAAAATTTCTGCTGTACTCAAGAAGCATTGTTAAGTATTAGGTATCCTGATTGTCCCCAAGTTAAATAAGAACACTAGCTCCCTATTTGTACTTTAGATTCAACCTTGTAGCTTTGTAGATTCCCTCAGATCTTCTTTTCCTCATTCTGTTTTCAGTCGTTCATTTCCAAAAATACTGTGCTGTTTCAGAATAAGTGGCTTATTTCTTCTTGATATATTTGTTATGGGTTCATTTTGTGTTTATCTTATAAATACATATCAGTTTTTAGTATTTTTCATACTACTATAAGGACATAAATTACTATTGTACTTTTATTTCATTCAACGAAGGTAGTAATCTTTTCTTGTAATTATACAACTCTGATTTGATTTTGGACATAGTTGTGTCCCCTCAATTTGCAACCCTCCAAAAATATGTGAAACCAAATAACTAAATTATATGGGATTCACATGTTTGAAATTTAATAATATCCCTTGGTATGGGTGGCATTTACTAAGATACAGGACCTAGTTCCTAAGCTGAGCAAATTAGCAATTATATGCTGAATTTTAACATCTTAAGCCTAGACAAGTAAATCACATATGACTCTTAGAAAGCCCTATTGATCATCATTTTGAGCCTGATAAGCCAAGTTCAGAAAAACAAATAATGCATGTTTCCTCGCATATGTGGAATCTAGACCTAAATAATAATAATAATTATAACAACAACAACAATAATAATATGACATGAGTATGTAAAAGGGGGAGTTTTGGGAGGAGAACAACCATGCAGGAGGAAGAGGAAAGGAGACAATGATGGAGGGTAAATATGATCGAAGAACATTATATGTATGTATGAAAATAACATAATGAAATCCACTAAAATCTGAAAAAGCAAAAATGAGAAAGGGGTATAAGAAAGAGCAGTTGAGGAGGTAAATTTGACCAAAGTACATTATGTGCATGTATGGAAATACCACAATTAATATGCTGTAATAAAATTTTTGAAAAAGAAAATTCTATTGCCATTTATAACTTATTATATAATTTTAAAATTCTTTTAATTACTTTTTTACTTTTTAAAACATATGTTAACTCTCTTCCATAAAGTCTCACTTTTTTTCATTTACAGATCACATTAATAAAAAGACTGAGGTAAGTATTGTAACCATGTTGAATTGTAGAAAACACTAATGATTTTAAGAATAATACTTTACCATTTACCAGTAAATCTTTTTTGAGACATAGCCATTTAAAGGAAAATTCATCAATTTGTTTTGAGTGACATAGTAAAATAAAAACATGATTATTTGCATGAAGTATAGTATCATTTGGTGATGTTATCCTAATTTGTGTATGTATGTGTGGGTGCATGCACATGTGTGAAGCAGAAGGTTACCATGTGTTTGCCAACCTTAAAATTCAAGGAAAAAGTGATTTATCTCCATTTTAGCAGTACTGGAGTTTGAACTCGGGCTTTGTGCCTACTAGGCAGGTACTCCAACACTTGAGCCTCACCTATTTGCTCTGGTTATTTTGGAGATAGGGTTTTACTTTTTACCCAGGTCAGCCTGGACCACAATCCTCCTATTTTACACTTCATGTCATAGCTGGGATGCAGGCATACGCCACCATGTCCAGGTTTTTTTTCATTGAGATGGGGTCTCACAAACTTTTTTTGTCTAGGCTGGCCTGGAATCTCAATCCTCTCAATCTCAGCCTCCCAACTAGTTTGGATTACAGGTATGAGCCACTGGCACCCAACTTCCAAGTCTATATTTTAATCTTTATTAAAATCTTATCCTGGGTGTGGTGGTACATGCCTGTAATCCCAGCACTCAGGAGGTGGAGGCAGGAGGAGGCTAAGTTCAAGACCAGCCTGGGCTACATAGGAAGATCCTCTCTAAAACCCAAACCCAAACCAAAAAAGCAAAAATAACTCCACAAAAAATAAAAACTTATCCTAAAACACCATGTCTCATGTGTTTTTGGAATTATGGAAATTGTGAAGTAAGCAGTGAATTTATAAGATAAGCCCATGGGTAAAAGTAACCTGGTTATATACTTCTTTTAGAAGGATAGTGCAGCCTACATACTACTCTGGTGTAATGGGTCCTTTCTTGAAAATATTTTATTGCTACCTCTACAAACAATTAGAATTGATGATGCTGTTATAAAATATCCTTTGTCTTTGAAGAAGCTAGTAATAAAATGTTAACATTTTTTAAAGTAATAATTTCAAAATTTCATTGTTTTATTGTATAAGTTGTCAATAATCCCACTGATTAATTTTTTCGTGGTTAGATGTTCCTTGATTTTACTTTAAAATATTCTATATATGTGATTTCTGACTTTTTTTTGTTTCAGGCATTTCCTTGACAGGTTAGAAAAATGAAATCTATTTCTTAAAGCCATACCTAAATAATACTCTGGTTATATTAATAATTTAGTCCTTAACTACAAATAAAAACACAAAATTGATTTGTTGGTAAAATAGATGGTTGAAATTCTTAAGTTATTTACAAACCACCACAGCTAGTTCTTAGATTAAAATTTAAATGACCATGTCTATAGACTTAATTTTATTTTTCAAAGTGGAAATGTGTGCTTTTGCATGATTCTATTTTTTTCTTTTACCTACACATTGATTTATTTGGGGGACAGTTTTATGCAAATGAGAAATGATACAAATGGTTACATTCTACTTCTAAAAGACTTACTAGTGGAGGAAAACATAATTCATACTATTTCATCCTTACTTTTCTTTTCCGATCTAAAAGGACAAAAAATGCAGACTAACAGGATCTTATTTATTTTTTAGTCCAGATGAGTTGTATTTAAATGAGCATCTGTATGTGGAATCAGATATTTTGTCTTTCATTATTTTAGAGCTGTGTCCTTCTGTTAAAAATTTTATATGTAATAAGACTCATTTTAAAGAATTCTCATAATTAAGAGAAATCCTTCATTTCAAAATTTAGTCTAATTATGATATATTCTCCAAATAACTTTTAAAAATTAATCAAAAGAACATCATTTACGTTATCTTTTGACACTTGTTAAAAGTTTACGTTGCATTTCCATTCATGGTATAGCTCTTTATCCACAATGTGTGTGAACCAGAAGTGTTTCTGGTTTTTGAGTTTTTTTGAATTTCGGAGCATTTGCACAGACTTTCCTAGTTAAGCGGCCTAGTTGAGCATTCTAAAAATACCAATGATCCAAATTGGACACAGCACTTTGGATTCCATGTATTTGCATTCAGGATGCTCAGTCTGTACTCACTTTCTGGAACTTAAATATTTAAATGTTACAGTAGTTAGGCCTTTGCCCTAGGAATTTAAACTTTTTTTTCCCTCAGAATCTAAAAGAGAAGTCTGAAAAAAATTTCTATTTGACTTCTACAAAGAAATATGTTTTGTACTCCCACAATAATACTAGTCTTTATCTTGTATTCTTAGTAACTCACTCTTTCCATCTTTAATATGTTAACTTATGCCAAGAAATTTTTTTCTTTATTTTCTTTTATCATTTTTACATTTCCTTACATGTGTATACATTGTTTAGGCCACCTCCCCGATCGTCCCCCTCTTCCCCCCTTCTCCAATTTTGTTGTAGAGAAAACATAGGAGATAATAAGAAACACATAGTGTTTTTTCCTAGTTGTAGATAAAGATAGTTATACAGAGAGATTCCTAGTGTTGCTTCCATGTACTTGTATACTGCAATCCACATTGGTTCATCTCTACCAGACCTCTACACTACTTTCTGGTTCCCTTTCCATAGTGTCCTCTGCCAGTTTAAGATTACTTTATTCTCTCCTCTACAATGAGCACATCAACCATGTTGAAATTTTAGGTTTCCTTCCCTTTCCCTGTTCCTCCCATCCACATTCTCCCCTTAGTGTGTGACCCATGTCCAGTAATATTACTGTATTTGTTTTAGGTCTATAAACCACATATGAGGAAGAACATGCGATTTTTGGCCTTCTGACCTGGCTAACTTCGCTTAAGATGATGTTCTCCAGTTCCATTCATTTACTTGTGAATGACAAAATTTCATTCTTTGTAGCTGAGTAAAATTCCATTGTGTATAAATACCACATTTTCTTAATCCATTCATCAGTAGTGTGGCATCTTGGCTGTTTCCATAACTTGGCTATTGTGAATAGTGCTACAATAAACATAGGTGCACAGGTGCCTTTGGACCTGAGTCGCATTCCTTTGGGTATATCCCTAGTAATGGTATTGCTGGATCATATGGCAGATCTATGTTTAGCTTCTTAAGAAGCCTCCGTATAGTTTTCCAAAGTGGTTGTACTAGTTTACATTCCCACCAGCAGTGTATGAGGGTTTCTTTTTCCCCTCATTCTCGCCAGCATTTGTTGTTTTTAATGATGGCTATTCTAACAGGAGTGAGGTAGAATCTTAGTGTGGTTTTGATTTGCATTTCCTTTATGGCCAGGTATGGTGAGCATTTTTTCATTGTGCTTTTTGGCCATTTGATTTCTTCCTTTGAAAAAGTTCTGTTTAGTTCAGTTGCCCACTTTATTGGTTCTTTAAATTTTTGGGAGTTTAGTTTTTTGAGCTCCCTGTGTATTCTGGTTATCAGTCCTCTGTCTGACATATAGCTAGCAAATGTTTTCTCCTACTCTGTGGGTGGTCTCTTTAGTTTAGAGACCATTTCTTTTGTTGTGCAGAGCTTTTTAATTTCACGTTGTCCCATTTGTCCATGCTTTCTCTTAGTTGCTGGGCTGCTGGAGTTCTGCTAAGGAAGTCTTGCCTATACCTATTGGTTCTAGGGTATTCCCTGTTATTTTATGTACTAACTGCAAGGCTTCAGGTCTGATATTAAGGTCCTTAATCCACATTGAATTGATACTAGTATAGGGTGGCAGGCATGGATCTAGTTTCAGTTTTCTGCAGGTAGATAATCACTTTTCCCAGCAACATTTGTTGAAGAGGCTGTCTTTTTCCATTGTATGTTTTGGTGCCTTTGTCAAAAATAAGGTGGGCATAGCTGGGTGGATTCATATCCGGGTCCTCTGCTCTGTTCCACTGGTCTTTATGTTTTTGTGCCAGTACCATGCTGTTTTTATTGCTATGGCTCTGTCATATAGTTTGAAGTTGAGTATTGTGATACCTCCAGCATTGCTCTTTCTGGTCAGTATTGCCTTGGCTTTTCATTGTCTTTTGTGTTTCCAAATGAATTTTGGAGTGTATTTTTTAATCTCTGTGATGAATGTCATTAGGATTTTGATGGGAATTGCATTGAACATGTAGGTTGCTTTTGGTAGTATAGCTATTTTTACTGTGTTGATTCTACCAATCCATGAGCATGGGAGATCTTTCCATTTTCTGTAGTTGTCCTGGATCTCTTTCTTCAGTAGAGGTCATTTACATCCTTGTAGAGGTCATTTACATCCTTTGCTAATTCCTAGGTATTTTATTTTTTTGAGGCTATTATAAATGGAATTGTATTCCATTTATTCTCATTTGTTCATTGTTGGTAGATAGAAAGGCTGCTGATTTTTGTAAGTTGATTTTGAATCCTGCTACATTGCTGAAGCTGTTTATGTTGTGTAGGAGTTTTGGAGTGGAGGTTTTTGGGTCTTTGAGGTATATGAGCATGTCATCTGCAAATAGAGATATTTTGACTATTTCTTTACCTAGTTGTATTCCTTTTATTTCTCTTCTTGCCTTAAATTGTTCTGGGAACTCCAGGACTATGTTGAGTAGGAGTGGGGAGAGTGGGCATCCTTGTCTCATTCTTGACTTTAGGGGAAATGGTTTCAGTTTTTCCCCACTAATTATGATGTTGGCTATAAGTTTGTCATATATAGCCTTTATAATGTTGAGGGACATTCTTTCTGTTCCTAGTTTTCTTAGAGCTTTTATCATGAAGTGGTGTTGGATCTTATTAAAGGCTTTTTCTGCTTCTATTGAGATGATCAAGTGATTTTTGTCTTTGATTCTATTAATGTGCTGCATTACATTTATTGATTTGCATATGTTGAACCATCCCTGCATTCCTGGAATGAAGCCATCTTGGTCATATATGATCTTTCATATATGTTGTTGGATTCGGTTTGCTATTATTTTATTGAGGATTTTTTTCGTCGATGTTCATTAAGAAGATTGGCCTGTAATTCTCCT